GTCCGGCGTGCATGACGTGTTTCATGTCAGTATGCTTCGGAAGTACGAGCTGGATCCATCGCATGTATTGGATTGGACCGACTTAGAGGTAGATGAGGATGTCTCGTATGAGGAGACACCGGTTCAGGTCTTGGATAGGCAGGACAAGTCTTGCGAGGCAAGACCATTCCCTTAGTAAAGGTTTTGTGAAAACATCACGGAGTAGAAGAAGCCACTTGGGAACGTGAGTTGGAGGTCCGGGAAAAATATCTAGATATGTTTGTTGATGCGTAATCATGTATTGGGAATTTTTTAATATTGATAAACTTTAAGAGCATTAAATATGTCTTAAGTTGTAAAACATTGTGAATGTTTTGATTTATGAAAGTATTTTGGAACTTGCCTTGAAATGGAAGTTTATTTTAACATTGCATATGTTAATTTTGTTTTAGAAATGCAAATATATTATCAGCATTGAATGTGAAATTGAATTGTGGATTATGTATTGAAAGTTGTTGAATTTCAAGGAAAGCATGTTAAAAATGCATATTGAGTTATATATTGTGATTTGCCTCTTGAAAAAAGATGGGATGACCGGTAATGGGTCAGGTTTCAGAATGTTGGTTGGTAATGTTATTGAGAATTGAGGAAAACTTGATTTTGAAAACTTGTACTTAATTTCGGGGATGAAATTCTTTAAGGAAGGGGGAGGTTATAGCGATCCCGGTTTTTCCTTCCTTATTTATTGTATTTCGGACTCAGTTCCGTTGATAGTTGTGGTTGTCTGTATTTCATTTCCGTCCTTTAATGCTTTGGATTGGAGTTTAGAAATGTGTTGGGCATGTTTCGAACAGGTTGGTTGAGCTTTAGTCCCATTTCTTGTTGCCCAGATTTTTGGTGGTCCACTCGAGCAGATCCCTTCGCGCTCAAGTGAAGTTTGCACACCTTCAATAGTTTGTCCACCTGCAAAAGTTCTGCAGATGTGTTTTTCATGCTCGAGCGATTTTCCTTACGCTCGAGCGGGTATCCTTGCGCTCGAGCGGGTGTTCATTGTCTGTAAAAATACTGGAAGAGCGTAATCTACGCTTGAGTGGGTGTTCCTTTGGGTTCCCTTTTGCGCTTGAGCGGGTGTGTTTTGCAGTTGTATCTTGACGCTCGAGCGGGTATTCTTGCACTCGAGCGGGTTCAGTTTTTTGTGCTTGACGCTCGAGCGTCCTATTCTCCGCTCGAGCGGACTAGTCGTATATCAGATGGCAGTTGGGTGATTTTAAATCACTTTTCACACTTTCTTTCTCTCTCTTACTTTTCAAAAACCCATTTTGAGAGCTTCTCTCACTACATTTCACTTTCTCTCTAAGGTTTGATCTAGTTCTAGTGTGTATCTAGCCTAGTCCCTTTGTAAAAAAGGTTGTGCTTGGTGTGAGCTTCACTTTGATCCGAAAATCTCTTGGTTTGGAGCACTTCGAGTTTTCTTCAACTTCTCCATTTGGTCTCTGAATTTGAGGTAGGGATAACTATTCATCTTTATGGGCTTTAACCTAAATGTTGAGCTGTTTGTATAAATGGTTTGGTTTTGGAAAGTTAAGTTTTGAGATATGTTATATTGGAAAGAGGGGTTTTGTTCTTTTGATTCAAACATGTGTGTTTTGGGTCTAAAAAGGGATTTTATTGATGCTGTTGATAATATTTGGACCTTTGGGTCAATGTTGAGGAAAGAGGAAAAATGCTATGTTTTGGTATATTTGGGTCATTAGTGTAATTAATGGCATTTATTATGGAAATATGAAATTAAGTTGGGAATAATGAAATTGGCTCATTACGTAGTAGAATGGTGAAGTTGGACTTAATAATCACTCACCTTTGAGAATTATTGATAATTTATCTGTTGGTGCATTTATTATCTGTTTAGAAATAACTGTTTTGGGCTATCGGTGGAGGATAGTCTTGATTGTTGTAGACACTGCATGATGATTAGGTGAATTAAAACTAATCAATTTGAGTATGCCATTGAGTATGACGGTTGGAATAATACAACGAATATGCGTATTGATTGGTCATTATATATGATGAGTATTTGAATACATGGGTGTCGAATCCCGCAGATGAAATTTTCGTAAAATGACAATTCGAAAATATCTATAAATGGGTGTCGAATCCCGCGGATGAAATTTCTGTAAAATGGAAAATCGAAAATATCTATACATGGGTGCCGAGTCCCATGGATGAAATTTCCGTAAAATGGCCACAAGAAAATAATTATACATGGGTGCCGAATCTTGCGGACGCAATTTTCGTAGAATAGCAGTTTGAAGTATTGTTGGCATAAGGTGTAACGTCATCTAAGTTGTTTGGCCAGGTTTTGAGCCGTGTTTATAAGTTGAGAATTGGATAAGTAAAGGATTATGAAATGGAATTGTACTGTATGTTGGTTTATATGAGTTAAACATTTATCAAATGCTAATGTTTTAGTTATTGCTCATACTATGTTTAGCATATCTCTACTGGGCGTTGGCTCACCCTATTTGGGACATCATTTTTAGGTGCAGGTGATATGTCACCTCCAGGGACGTAGCTTGGGAGGCTTAGTGACTGAGTGACCTTTTTGATTACTTTTTGTATTACATGCATATCAAGTCAAGGGCTTATTTTGTGTAGAGTTAGTACTTTCATTTTTGTAACCAAGTGTTGACTTGGAAAGTTGTAAGCCCGTAGGGCATTTACTTTTGTTGTCAACATGTAATACATTCTATAAGAATACTATGATTTATGAAATGTGATATCTCTTTCTTGTATCATGGATGTTTGTTTTTGGGTTTATTTTGAGGGCGCTACAGTTCCTTCATCTCTCCAATTTCTCTCTCCCTCCCTCTTAGCCTTCTCTAGATCTGGTTCTTAATCCAAATATTATATTTTGCCTTAATAGTCCAGCCATCACCACCTTACCTTCTTCACCCTCAGGCCCAAAATTTTAAGATTTGGTTTCAAATTTTCTTACAGTTTGAAGGCCAACTCTAGTTGACGCGTTTGTTTCACATTAAACGACCACCTCGATATCAATTTTCTATCTTGACCAGGGGAGATGGAGTCTTTTAGATTTCAAGTTGAAGGCTATGGAGTAGTAGAGTTTTGGATGAGTTCACAGGCGACTTGGATTTACTATTTTCTATTTAGTGTTGTAATTTTTAGTTTGTTGATGTAATAATCCTCCATGTGTGAAGGTTTGTTTCCCTCCATTGACGGGGTCTTTTCTTATCCTCTATGGAGGCTTGGATCCTTCCTTTTATAGAGGTTGATCATCTTCTTTTAAGATCTTATGATACCACTTTATAGATTGATCCGATCTTTTATTGATTTTATAATGAAGATCTTGTTCCCCATCTAAAAAAAACTCCACACCAAGTCTGGTTTAACACTCAACGAGGCCTAAAAGGAAATATTATTAGAAGGCTTTTAATATATAAATATAAATTCAAATAATATTATTAATTTTTTTTTTAAATTTTTTGTGAGGGTATAAAACAAAAAGAAATGAAAATTGCTATAAGTTATCTAGTAATTAGAGCTCACACATTTAAAATGAAATTTATGCGAGGGAGAAAAAAAATTGAAGACTAAACCTTAACCTATTCTTAGTTGGTGGAATATTTTTTTCGTATTAAAGTGAGTCTTTTTACAATTATAGACAGGATATTTTTCAAAATATGTGGATATATATATATATGTATTAATGTGAACATTTTAAAAATAGAAGAGGTACTTCTCATTTATAAACTAATCTGTGGAACTCGTATTATGTTTTAAGTATAATTTTTTTAGTGGATGTATGAAGGCCAAGGCCATTTTCAAATAAAAACGATCATGTTGACAAGTGTCTTAATAACATTAGTTAACAAAATTTAAAAGAAGGTTGCTATACATCACATGATTTTGTCACCATTGGCAAGAAACTAATGTTTTTATTAATTCCTTAATAATTGTATCTCTAAATAAGGAAACTAACCATAAATCTCTATATAAGTGGTGATAAAATCCGGTGAAATTTTTTTTTGATGACATATAATCTTTCTCAATTTAAAATAATTATACATTTTTTGTGACGCATACTTTTTAACATACAATTATTTCAAAAAAGTTAATAAATGAATTATGAACACTCTTAATAAAATTCAAAATAAAATTATGTTACGACTTTTCAACGGGGGCCTTGTGGAATTTTGAGAAAATCAGGCCTTTTATCAAATGGGGAATGGGGGCTTGTGGAATTTTGAGAAAATGGGACCTTTCCATCAAATTGGGGCCTAAAGCACAAGCTTCACTGGCTTTGGCTTTAAGCCGGCCCTCTACACGTGAATAACATGTAGGAGGTAGCTTTCTTAAAAGTGGTGGACGAATAAGAAACTGTCTCCATCTATGGATATGCACACACTTGATGCACTGATACACACTTGAAATACTCAACCTCCATACTTGCCGGACACACAGACTCCTCCATCGCCGTCGAGGACCACCCGTGACCGAACCTCCTTTGCTTCATCTCTGAACATCGACAGCCTCTGAACATTTTGTTAACACTCTAAAATTAAACCCCTTTCCTTCTTTCTCCTCTGAGCCTCTGGACCTCTTCACTTCTGAACCTCCTTTGCTTCCTTCTCCTCTTCTCCGTGACCCAAACATCACCCTCCATTGCAGATGCTTAGCTTTTTCTTGCTTCACTCTCCTCGTCAAGCTTAACCGAACACAAACACCGACCACCAAAGGATTGAACGGAAATCATCCCTCAAACTCCCACTCGCACGGAGCGCTCGAATGAAGATCCTAAACATCTCTGAATCCTCCACCCCTCAAACTCCCTCTTGCAGCGAAGTGCCCGAATGAATTTCCTGAACCAACCCATCCAAGGTCAACGCAAGGCCGAAGCTGAACCCAAGGCCGAGAAACGAACCCACCAAACCCACCCAACAAAGCTTCCAAAACACCAACCCACAAAGTGAAGAAAGATCTAAAACCACCCAAGGATACTTGAAATGCCTCCTCTGGTTGCTCAGGTTTGTCATTTTTATCTGCATTTTGTCATTCAAATAAATTCACCATAATTAGCAAGACAGATATTTTTTTTTATTTTTTCAACTTTTTATATCACTAAATTATATGGCAAGATGTTAATTTGCTTTCATTAAATACTTAATAATTATCTAAAAAAAAAGAATTAGTCATAAGTATATATATGTAGGAGTTGATATAAAATGATGATAAAAAAAACTGGCGACATTTAACATTTGTCAACTAGTTATACTTATTTATTTTGTCATAACGATTTTCATATTTTTTAATATTTGACATGATAAACGAAAATCAACGAAAACGAAAATGAATTATAGGCCGACTTATAAACCCTAGTTGACACACTTGTTTGGCTACCATTAACTGTGTGTGATGTGTGTCCATCATTTTTGCCAATAACTACAACACGCACGATAGTCAATTCGATTTGTAAGTCAGTTTTTAAAGGACAACTCCAATGAAAATAGTTGGTCCATAAAAATGAGTTGATTTAAACAGAAAAAAACTTTCTTGTGTTTCGAACCCAACGAGATAGACTTAGTTTCTTACTAACACTATTACATTATTATCACCCTATCACCACCACCACCATCACTCTACAATTCTTGTGGCCACACACACCACCACAATCAGCGCCACTGCCGCTGCTACTACCACTCTACCCACACCGATACCACTACCACCATCACAGCCGCGCCACCACCACTCCCTACCACCACTACCACCTCATATTGCCTTCACCACCTTCAGGTACACTACTATCACAACTAATGGAACTATCATTTTACAACCGTGGGAAATATATTTTTAAGAAATTTTTTTTTTTCAATTTTTTTTTTTTGTCTTTAGCGATATTTTTTAAAAATTATGTCAAAATTTTTTATTTTTCCAATCCATTTTGTGTGGATGAGTAGACAAATCTAAAAGTATATTTTTTTTGAAAAATTGCAAAAAATGAAAAATAAAAAAGCCAAAATAAGCTAAAAAAAAGTTTCCCATTTTTGACTTATTTTTGTCTTTTCTTGATTTTTTTTAAAAAAAATTAAAATTCTTCCTAATTTTCTAGTTCTTCTGGTCAAGTAGAATTTAAAAGCCTAAAACTTTTGAAAAACTATATGAAAAAAAAAAAAAAATCACTAAAAACAAAAATAAACCAACAAAAAAACTACCAAAAAACAAACCCCAAACGCCCACTAAGTTTTTTTATTATTATGTTATACATTTATGGAGTCTTCTTGAGAGCAACTTCTCATTTGCAAATACATTATATTTTGCAAGCCCCGTGCGTGGATCATCCTTTTCAATCAGTCTTTACAGAGAAGTAATGAGAAAAAATGAATTTTGAAATATAAACAAATCAGACAAAACTTCTTGCCATGTTCTTCCTAATTTACTCAATTCTAGCAAAACATCTTTCCAATAGAATACGTCACGGAGTCCTAAATTCATCTTCCAGGTGACTAAATTCAAATGTGGAGGCTTTGTTCTTGGGCTATGCATGAACCATTGCATGTTTGATGGGCTTGGAGCTATGGAATTTGTGAACTCATGGGGTGAAACTGCCAGAGGCCTACCTCTCAATGTCCCTCCATTCCTAGACAGAACCATTCTCAAAGCTCGAAACCCGCCAAAGATTGAATTCCAACACCACGAATTCGCTGAGATCGAAGACATATCCAACACTGCTGATCTCTACAAACAAGAAATGCTCTACAGGTCCTTCTGTTTCGACCCCGACAAGCTTGAACAACTCAAGAACAAAACAATGAAAGAAGGAGCTTTAAAAAAGTGCACTACATTTGAAGCCCTTTCTGGTTTCGTCTGGAGGGCTCGGACCCAAGCGCTGAATCTGAAGCCTGATCAACAGACAAAGCTCCTCTTTGCTGTCGATGGGCGGTCCAGATTCAACCCACCATTACCAGAAGGGTACTCTGGAAATGGCATTGTATTAACCAATTCAATGTGCAGTGCAGGGGAGCTAGTGGAGAAGCCACTGTCCTCTGCTGTGGCACTGGTACAAGAGGCAGTTAAGTTAGTTACAGACAGTTATATGAGATCAGCCATTGATTATTTTGAAGCAACAAGAGCTAGGCCTTCACTGACTGCAACACTTCTGATCACTACATGGTCTAGGCTGTCTTTTCACACTACAGATTTTGGATGGGGTGAGCCAGTGTTATCTGGGCCAGTGGCTTTGCCTGAGAAGGAAGCCGAACTCCAAGATGAATTTGAGAAGTTCAAGAAGGTGTTGTCTAGTGGACCAATAGTAGGAGCAATGCAGTCTATAGCCATCGGAATTTCTAAGGACTTCAAATTCAAGATGCCTAATTTCTAGAGAAGAGACTTGTTGGAGCTTTGAAAGATTTTTAAAAATAAAATAAATATAAAAAATAAGTAAGTATGATAAGAATACAAGGATTTAGAGGAGTAGGTAAGACAAGAAAATAATCTTAATCAGAATAAGAATAATATATCAAAGTTAATATGAGTTTGTGAGTTTTAATTGGTTCAAATTTTAAACAAGTTGTGTAACTTGTCTAATGCTATTGTTTGTTGTTATAATCATTTGTTAGGGTATTTACTATTCGATTCGAGTAGTAGTTATGGAGAATTGACAACTAAACCGAACCAATCGGTTTGCAAATACCGTGAAGCAAAGCAAATTGATCATTAATATTAACTCCATCAAATTGTTGAGTATTGCACTAATTTCAATTTTGGTGCAGTTTAATTGGTTTGATCATTTCAAATTGATCTTGTTTTGGGGGTAAATTACACTAATGTTGCTTAAAGTTTAGAAAAAATATAGTAAGACCTACAAGTTTAGCATATTTACATTGGTCTTCTTCAAGGTTTTAATTCATTATAACATTTGTTAGCTATATGAATGAAAAAAATGATGTTATCATTTATTTTATATTGGAATGTATATGTTATGTTATGTATATTTGTGTTTTCATACAATTTACATTAGTTTTTGATCTTTTTAACTTTATTGAAAAAGAAGTCAGTGTAATTATGTTAAAATTATAAAAATTACTAAATTTTTTGTAATCAAGTTTTTTTTTTCTACAAATCAGTACAACATATAACAGTTTTAGAAATCAAACTTTTTCGTCTCCAAATGTAAAAAAAAATTGATAAAAAAATATTATAAGACCAATTTCAATCGTCATGTGAGTCGTCAAGAAAAAATCTTTTAGGGACAAAATTTGAAATTCTCACTAATGAATGCACTTTTAAGAACAAAACAATTTTGTCCCAGAAGTTTAGTTTTTTTAGATGAAAATTTTGGTCCCCAAAAATATAGTAATTCATTACTAAATATCAAATTTGGTTGTTAAAACACAACAATAATACTTTTGACAACAAAAGATTTTCATCTCTAAAACCTTAATTTCTGGTAGTGAATGGTTGATCCACTTTATTTTTCTTGTGACATAGCACTTTTTATTTTTATTTTTACACTCAGGTATGATTTTATCAATTTTAATTTTGGATTTTTTTTTTGTTTCAAGAAATTTTATTTTATTTTTTTTTGAATGGCAAGAGAGATCTTTATTGATGAGAGCATACAAAGTATGAGAAAAACATCAATAAAGAGGAGCTTGGAGCTAGCACAAGTTTCAAGCTTCAGTTGGTGAGAAACCAACAAACAGAACAAAACAAAGCAACAATACAACAAGCAGAACAAAACAAAGCAAAACAGATCAGGTTAGGTCCAGAAAATCAGCACCAAGACAGAGCAAAACAGATCAGAACAGAGCAAAACAGATCAGATCAGAGCAAGACAGATCAGGCCTAGTAGATCATCACCAAGACATGTACCAGAATAGAGCTAATAGCAAGACATGCACCAGAGCTTCACCAAGTTCAACCAGAACATCTTATGATGCAAATAACCTGAGGAAAAACAAATGTGGATAAACCAATGGAAGTTGCTGCTGAGAAGAATTGCACCTACAAGACTAGCATCCAAAATAGCATTGACTGCAACTGGACTTAATAATGCATGAAGACTACTAGGACCTATCACCAAGGCAATATCTGATTTGTGGGAAGCTGAAAAGGAAGTCATTAATTGAAAATTGAAACCTCTTGGATGCAGCTTTATACCAGAAGGCTAATCTGGTAATAATGAGTTCATGAAGATCCTGAAGCTGTGATTGTGAGCCTTTTGTTTGAAAGAATTAACTATTACCAATATTGCTAATAATACTTTGTACATAATACAAGTATCAAGCACAAAATTGTTATTTTTTTCCTCCAATTTGTTTAAATTATTTTGTAATTTTAATTCAAAAAATCTCAAGATTAAGACCATATTTGTCATCGTTTAACGAGAAGACTTGGGATTTACAAACAGAAGCACTAAAATAATTGTATTTTGTTAACGAGTGTTTTAAGGAGAAATTTGAAATTGTTGTAACTTATTTTTATAAATATTTTTGTAGTTAAAAAATGCTCAATTTTTTTTTTTTTTTTTTTAAGTTTGTTATGTCTGAAAATCATAATTTTAGCAATTTTGAGCTCAATTTCAAGTGGGTTCTGCTCACTATTTTTAGCTGGTCCAAGTGGTGATGTGTTTTATACCGTGTGATAAATAACACTATGTAACTGATTTTGACAACACAATTTTACGAGTAAATTGAAAATCGAATCCGAAATAAGTTTCGTTGAAATGAAATTTTGGTAGGTATCCTACACATTGATGATATATACTTGTCCCATATAAAAAAGACAAGATAATTTTTATGTGCACATAAGATTCAAGTTAGAGATTTAAGTTTGGATCCTTAGTGTATTCAAATTTTGTAAGAAAATGAGTTATGGACGAAGAGTTTTTAAATCCAAATTATCACACATGCAGATACTATCACCTTGCACTGAACGGATCACGGGCCAACCATATTATAATTTTTTTGACAATTATCTAGAGTTCAGCATCTATTCCATTTATGATTAGACTGGAGAGATCTAGTCCTGCCCATTGTGGGCTCGTATTGGGTCTGTCTAGATTATCTAAATCATTTATTTTGTAAGGCCCGTCAAGTACATTATTCATACCAAAATTCAAATTGATTGAATATTAATAGGCACATAATCAAATCACATTTATTATCTCTGCCAAAATCGTATAATGTATCTATTATTTTTTCTAAACAAGTGTAATCTAATAATCAACTGACTATTGATATTCAAACAATTTAATTAAACAACAAAAATATACTTTAGTGGCACTACACTAGTGGCATATTTTTAGAAAATGCCACAAAAATGATATTTAGTGGCACGTTTTTTAAAAATGCCACAAAACGATAAACAAAAAAGGCTCTAGTGACATTTCAATGAACAAGTGTCACAAAACTACAACAAAAACATACTTTAGTGGCACTACACTAGTGGCATATTTTTAGAAAATGCCACATGGTACCAACGTATATACTTTTTTTTTCTTATTAAAAAAAGAAAAATGAAAAAAAAAAAGAGCAGGATGTTAAACGTGTGGTTGATTAATTTTAAAAATACAATATTTTTATATGATTGTTGACTAGATGTGAAATAAATTACTAATATTATATTTCATATTTCCTATTTTTTAAATTTTTGGTGATGATCCTACATACGGCAACTAAATTATAAATTGAATCAAGTGTGTGGTTTGTTTGTGTAACCATTTTCAAATCCTCACTTTGTGTTTTCTATGCTCTTTATTTCTTTTGATCATAATTAGGGTTGGGGGAAGGACTTAAAATTTACACTTTATAGTCTATGCAACACATGGAATGCTCCTCTAATCTATATACAAAAAATTAGAAGATAGGTTCTTATTTCTTGTTTTTGAATTTTCTTCTATTTCCGAGGTTTGTGAAGATTTATATATACACAATTTTATCCTTGTATATAAAAAGACTCTATTACAAAAAAAAAGAGAGAGAAAGAGAGTAATCAGAAGAAGCGAGAAAATGTGTATAGACATTGCTATTTTCATTGCAGGGAAATTTGGGAGAGCATTATCGGTCCAATTTGGAATGAGCTTTCCTATGTGAAAGACTATGAAGACAACATAGAGAAGTTCAAAAATTATTTTGAGAGCCTGAGGAGTGCAACAACTCTACTGCAACAATTGCTTGACAAGGCCAAACGAATTGAACAAGTCATCCCAATTGATAATGATCAAATGGAGCGGTGGCAGACACGCGTGGATGCCATCAACGAAGGGGCTAGGGTATTTTTCGTGAACGAAGCTAGAGCAAACGATGGATGCTTTTATGGATTGTGTCCGAATCTAATGTCACTTTACTCGCTCAACAAGCTAGGAAAGGAGAAGACAGCGGCTTCATTTTGCTTGGTTTTTGTAACGCCTGAGGTCAAACCGTTGCTAAAAATATATATAGCAACGTTTTAAGAAAAAAATGCTACTAAAAATTTTATATTTAGTTGTGGTCAATAACAGCTACAATAGAAAAATTAATATTTTTAAAATGTAATAATTGTATTATAAAAAGAAATTAAATTTTGAAAATAGATTATTATTTTTAGATGGAAGAAGTAGTCGGCTTTCATTTGATGGTTGAATACATCTTTTAATAATTGGGCCCTCACGCGAAAGGTATGCTAAAATGGGCAACTTGTTATTGGCTGTTTGTTGATAGTTTTACATTGCAAAAATTTAAAGGCATAGTTACAGGTCAGTCTGATGAATTTAATTTTTAATAATAAATTTATTATTTTTAAAAAGTACAATTAAACTATTTATACTTTTTACATCATCATATTTCAATAACACTAATAAATTAAGAATAAATCAAAATTCACAAATAAAAGACAAAATATCCCAATTATTTATCATTTTAATAAATTTTTCAATATTATTACCAGTACTAATGAAATAATCATTTTACAGACACAAAACATATATTTAAAAAGTTTTAAAAAAATTTCATTATCAAAACGAGGGCTAAGTGTGTAAAAAAAATTCACAATTGACTTATGAGTAAATAAATCTGATTTGTAAGACTTATTTTTAAATTTATACTTTCTAAATATTTCTAAATTTTGTAATTTTTTTTTCACAAACTGAGTCATAAAACTCCAATAAAGTAAAAAGTATAAACAATAAATAAAATTAAAAAATATTAATTTAACAAGCCTGATCTATTTTTCACATCTCGAAAAAAATTAGCAGCAAATATTTTCACAAAATTTTATCTTAATTTGAAATTCCCTCTCAAATTGGGGATTCCCCCCAAAATTTTGCCCTAACCCTTCTCCGTTTCTCATCTCACTCTCACACACAACTCCTTCTCATTCCTCACTACAAGAAAAGTGGGT